ATTTAAATGTGTTATCAATGTAGAGGCTTATTGGGTGCATAACATGGATAGATTGAGCAGGGGCTCACTTTGTATGATTGGGGTTCAGGGTAATTCGGGTGAATACAAGCACTATGACGTCCACTCCCTTTATGGGCTAACTATGGCTATCACTACCAGAAAGTAAAATGACAATACTAATTGTGATTTCAATAAATATTAATATATTATTTATAGAGCACTAAATGAGATAACAAACAAAAGGGGGTTTGTATTATCCCGGTCCACTTTTGTCTCATCGGGACAATACACGGGTCACTGGTTGGGAGATAATCACAGCAAATGGTCTCATATTAAGGATTCCGTGATAGGAATGATGGAATTTAATTTGTTTGGCATTCCCTATGTATGTCCCCCATTTGTAATATAAACAAATGCTTACAGGTCATTTAATTTATAGATAGGATCAGACATTTGTGGCTTTTTCGGACTGCCCACACCAGACCTATGTCGTCGTTGGCAACAAGTCGGAGCCTTTTATCCATTCAGTAGAAACCATCACGAAAATGGTCAGGAGATGGAACAGGACCCGGCTATTTGGGCTGATAGGGGACACCCGGAAGTGACCGAAGCGGCCAAACAATCACTTTATCTGAGATACCAATTACTTCCCTATTTATATACCCTGTTCTTCAAAGCACACGTATTGGGCAACACTGTTGTCAGACCTCTGTTTCACGAGTACCCGACTGATCCGCAAACACATAGTATCGACGAACAGTTTATGTGGGGATCAGTTGTACTCTTTTCTCCCTTCCTTTTCGAAGTAATTCATCATTTATTTCATATAAAATTATAATGTTTTCAATTATTAATTATTAATTATAATTATAAACAGAACCAAAAGGAAGTGAATGCATACCTTCCCAATGATGTCTGGTATGAACCGACCGATGAATTTGTGAAACTCTATCCCAAGACCGGATTAATTAAGATTGCAGATAATAATAGACAGGTTCCTCCCATACATCTTAGGGGTGGAAATATTCTGCCCATTGGTTACAACAAAGCAGTCAATACAGAGGTATTGAGAGACAAACCGATTAATCTGGAGGTCTATCCCAAAGACAAAAAGGCGACGGGAGATCTGTTTTGGGACGACGGAGACTCTCTCAACACTATTGAGACAAAACAATATAATTTCTATGAATTTGAATTGCTTGCTAACTGTTCACTACAATTAAGAGTCAAAACTAAAGGCTATAATTCAAGTAAACCTCATTTGATTGAGAAAGTATTAATAGCCAACACACTTAACGCCAAAATCAATGCATTACTCGATGGAAAAGCAATTGAAAATGTTGTCGTAAAAGAGGATTACATTATATTTCCAGTGAATATCGATTTGAATGCTGCACAAGTGGGTCAGATATGGAAGATTGAGTGGAAAACTGTTGACAACACATGTAATTTGAAATAATTGTTTTATTATTTGTTTATTACAGAAATTGGAAAATTAAAATAGATGTGAATAAAATTTAATTTAATATGAAACGAACATGAAATCTAGTATTTTATTAAAGATGAATTAATCAAATAAGACATCATCCATTAAGCAAAATCTCAATTAAAACTGTAATTATTGATAAGACAACTCCGACTGCAAAGGGTCCCAAAGCTGTATTAATTTTGACCACAAATTTAAAACCATTGCTTTGAGTAGTAATGACTTCTTCCCCGTCATC